CTTAAAAGTATTGATAGTTACAATATATGCACATAAATGGAATTATGGAACCATGTATGCGCTCTAAAAGAACAAACTGACCGTTTGATGTACGGTTTAAATACTATAATTGCTTTGTATGCAAGGGCGTAGCCAGCCTTTCACCTACGGGGGCAGGAGTTCATATACAGTATTGGCCAATACAATAGCACCCCCATTTCAAAGTCATAATGTTTGCCACTCATGTTTACTTATTTATTTTTAAGAATTTGCAATTAAAATACAGTTCATTCTCTCACAAAACTCACATAAACTCAAGTTTAAAACTTTCTAAAAGACCGCAAAAAAGTGCAACAAATTTTCACCCAAATTTCAAACTTTTTTCTCAGAAGCGGTAGAATTTTTTTGAATACACAGTTTTATAGCCCATTCAATTTTAGTCTAATAATGTGCAAGTTTCAAGTGGCTAAAAATTACCGTTGATTTTTTAGAAATTTTTTCGCCGATTATGTTGCGGGTTTCTTCCATATAAAAATAAATTGTGTTTAGTCGTTATATGGAAGCAACTGAGCCAAAAAAAAATTCTAAAAAATCAACGGTAATCTTTAGCGACTTGAAACTTGCACATTATTGGACTAAAATTGAATGCGCTATAAAACTGTGTACTGAAAAAGTTCTAGAGCTTCTGAGAAAAAAGTTTGAAATTTAAGGGAAAGTTTGTTGCGCTTTTTTGCGGTCTTTTAGAAAGTTTTAAACTTGAGTTTATGTAATTTGGTTTAGATCCGAACATTAAATAAAGAAAAAATTAACGGTTAAAGATGCACTCAACTTTCAAAAGTAATACAAAATTTTACAAAAGAATTTTAATATAAATAAATTAACCGCCCAATTCTGTGTTTTCTTGATAAATTTTTTGTAAAGAAATTTTATCAAGATTTTTATCAAGTAAAAGCTTCCTTCGCATTCTGTGTCAATATTTATAAAACAAAAAGCTCTACGATTTCCACATGAGTGGAACTGATTTCATTGTCACATATGAAAAATATGAATTTAAAAGCAAAAAATCCTTTGACTGCCGTAGCCGAGTAGGTAGAAATGTTGACTATAATTCCGTGTGTCGCAGGTTCAAATGCCGGCACATGGAGTATTTAATTGTTAGAAACAAATTTATTTATATACAAAATTTATACATTTCACATGAAATTTCAATTTGCCAATAGCATTTTCAGTCTTGATAATTTATCAAGAAAAGAGCTTTTGATTTCTGTGCTAGAATACCAATTCTTGATAAATAATAAAAAATTGACAAATTATAAAGATTTTCAATTTATCAAGTGCACAGAATCGGGCTGTAAATAATTTCACGAAATTTTTACACTTTTTTATTAATTTTCGTCGATTTCTGGTTTCTCATTTTTTAATAATTCGAATAACGAAAATTTAACTGAACTTGTATTTTTATCATGTAGCTCATTTTGGTGGAACGAATTCGAAGTTAGCAAATTAAATCTTCGAATGCTTATTAAGTACATATCAGCGGTAAACTTTTTTAGGCTGTAAAGTGTAAAAGGCAACAGTAAGTGAGTATGCATTGCATATTTTTTAGGACTATGTTTTCATTCGCAGTTAAACTTTAAAGAGCTCTCAAGAAAAAAAGAAAAATTCTTACAAAATGACGCACAAGAAATGGAAAAGAAAATTTTTTCTTTCAAAATTTCTTATATCATAATAGATTTAGCCTCAAAACCCACCCCTTGTGTGCGCTACGTGACAAATTTGATATGTAAAAGTAAACAGACATTGTTTAATTTTGCACACACTAGGAGAGGAAACTGGTTACCTCTCTTTATATGCGTAAATTTAAACGAAAATTTTTTAGAGGAAATTTTAAACATTTTATGTGTAAACTGTGAAAATGTGAACAATAAATGTTTAAAACTCAAAAAACAAATTTGAAATTTGTTCTACGCCACACATATGATAAGTAAAAGTAAGCAAGCAGTGTTTAAATTTGCATTCATTAAGAGAGGAAACTGGTTACCTATCTTAATATGCGCAAATTTAAACAAAAATTTTTTAGAGTGCATATAAATCAAAGTTTCACGCCTTATATAAAGTTCACAAAAATTAAAAAAAAAAATCCATCAAAATTTTTAACCTTTTCTTCAGAATTTCTAGAAAATTTTCGAGCATATCCTGGGAAATTTCCAATATTTATTTTTGAAAAAAAAAAATCTGTCTAGGACTAATAACTTTATTAGTTTTAGATACAACAAAATTTACACTTCTCTTTATAAAATGTTGATGGTTACAATATACATAAATTAAGATACTGTAATTGTTATTTTGGACCATGTATGCGCTCTAAAAGAACAAACTGACCGTATGATGTACGGTATAAATACTTTAATTTCACCTAGGGGGCAGGAGTTTATATAGAGGGAAAAAATGTTTTTAATTATTATTTTTTGTATATAAATAGACATTTTTGGGATTAAGAAAGTATAAGTTTTCAGTTTACTTTACAACGATACCAATTTTTTTAAAATCGGTTTGTAATTGTAACAAGGTATTTTTTCATTTTAAGTGTTTTTTCTCAAATTTTTATATACGAAGTATACAAATCCGCATATCAGAAGAAAGAAGGTTTTATTGCGTTTTCAACGATATTAACTTTTTAAAAACCGACTAGCATTTTTTTTGTTTAAAATATTTTTATAAAAAATAAGGTATTTTTTCTTTTTAAATGTTTTTTTTTTACATGCAAAGTATACAAATATGCATATCAGAGGTTTAATCATGTTTACAAAGATACCAACTTTTTGTTCAGTTCAAAATTGTTTGAAATATAATGTTTTAAATTTTTCGAAGATGGGAACTTTGACCGCTTATAGCACCTGTAATATAAGTTTGTACAAAAAAAGTGATAAACAATTTAAATAAGGATAAAAGGCGGACTACGTCTATATTTTTAGTTTTTTAGTAATTTACATATAATAACAAAAAATAATATTTTACCAAAGGTCCTATTTCGAACTTCAAAGGCCCATATCTCGATTTCGGAGGCTAACTTCGAAAAACGGAGAAATTACTTTTTTACCTAAGACTCAATCTCTTAAAAAAATTTGCTTTTGTCCAATACCCAGCGGAGTGCTGTACAGTGTAATGATTCTAGTATCTTCATTTATGTATGTTGTAACTATCAATATCTTATAAAGAGAAGTGTAAAATTTTTGTATCTAAAACTAATAAAGTTAGAAGGACGAAATTCGAGGTGGTGGTAGTTTACATATTAGTCCTTGAATATATTTTTTCCAAAAATAAATATTGAAAATATCCAAGGATATTCAATGATAAAGTTTTAAAATGACATTTTCAACACTTATTCGTCCTGGTGCAACAAAAAATTAATTTTTTTAAATTCTACAGAATTTTTCCTTTTAACTGATGGTATATTGTATTATATTATATTATTATATATAGTATATTAACTATGGGTATATTGTTACTCTACAGTGCATCAAATCTTTTAAATAATTTTTTTATTCAATCATATCCTAGAAATTTCAAAGTCTTTAAAAAAAAATCCTGATGTCAGAGAGAAAAATTAAAAACGCAGTTATACTATATTTGGCTCCTAGTTTAGTGAATATATTGATTTTTTCTTGTGTTTTAAAAATTTTTGGTTTTTGTCGCACGGTGTTATAATAACGAGAAACCAGAAATCAGTTTTTATATGTGTGAAATGTGTGTGATGTGTTTGAAATGGAAATTCTGAATTGTAATTTTCTTAATTTGAATTTAACTTTTTGCATTTAAAATGGAAATTCTGAATTAGAATTTTGCAGCTTTCTGATTTTGAAATGGAAATTCTGAATTTGAATGTAATTTTCTGAATTTTAAAGGAAATTCTGGACTTACATTTTAATTTTCCGAATTAAAAATGGAAGTTCTGAATATGAATTGTAACTTTTGAACTAACACTGAAAAAGGTGTAGTTTACATGGTACATATCATTGATGTTTTTGTAAAACCGCCCATCGACCGCCTAAATCGTCGTTGTGGCAAAAATTAAATTTGGTAACCCTGAACTCCGGGCATCGAGATTTATGCCTAAAAATCTTAAAATCGTTATTAAAACAACAGATTTGTAAAATAACAGCTAGAGAAAATAGCGCCTATCAAGGCAATGCCTTCAGTTGGTCGACGGGCGGTTTTCAAAAACATCGACGGTATGTAAAAATAACTAGAGAGCAACAAATTGTAATGAATCAAAGAAACGCAGCGAAGTTGCATCCGTAAAATGGATTTAAACTTGGTACATCTTTAATTTGAAGGAATCCAGAGCAAGCTACGCTGTGTAGCTGCAAACGGGCCATTTGCCGTACATTTATTTTAAAACGAAGGCCCCATAAACAATATCATCTTAACAGAAACAACTTAATCTTATTCTCTTTTTTGGTCATCACCCGTTCGTATAATAAAATGCAAGTGTGAAGGATCAAATTTTTTTTTATTTTTTATTTTGCAAGGTTCTGCAATTCACTTCAGAGTGAATTTCAATAAAATTCGCTTTGAACTCAAATTAGCAGGGGTTGAAATTCACTCGGGAGTGAATTGCAGAACCTGCCTGTTTATCTTGTATGTATTTACTTGGCTTATATTATGGAGTTAACTATACTTTTATATAAAATTAAAAAAGTTAAATATAGACAAATATTTTTACAACCTCGTCTATACTTCGTGGCTCTATTTCATCGAACACCACTGTATAAATCTTTTTGTTGACCCAGCTTGGCTGTTTTACCGATTTTTTCCACAGCCATAATTTCGAAGAAAACTTTTATGTGAATGTTTCAAATCTATTTCTATTAGTTTAAATTGGCTATGTGCAAAATTTTAGCCAGATCGATCAAAGCGAAAGAACATAACCCGATATCAAATCTATATTTAATTTTTAATTAATTTATATAATTATACAGATACCTAAACTCACCTTAAAGTTTTTCTCTTTATTTCAGCTCGAACAATATGTTCCTGGTTTCTCTAAAAAAATCGGAGACACTTCATTAGTGGTCAAAAATGTTTGTGCGGATGTGTTTGGAAAGACAGTATTCTTCTTTAAGACACAGGTTTTCATGTAAGTAATTACTCGACCAAAGACCCCTGCAGATAAAATAAATTAAAAGTTTCTTCCAGTGGCCGCTTTTCTCCCGAAAATCTTAGCAAAGTTGTGAATCAGACTCACAATGCTGCACTCGAATACTATATTCAGTTCCATAAAAATGTTGATACTTATTCAAAACTGAAATGATTTTAAGTACAAATACAAAATACTACATAAAGGCGATCATTTCCACAAATTCAATCCAATTCAACAGAACACCTCCACTAAGACCAATGCCAATCACCCAACAGCGAAAACGATTGTACGGCACATCAAATAATGACATCAAAATATGTTTAAGTGCTTGTAAAAAAACTTTTTATCTCACCATGAATATGTTGAGGTGGACCTTACTAATTGTTTGGTGACTACTGTACTAAATCCATCTCGCATTTAAGATCTTATTCTAATTTGATATATTCCATTAAACTTTTTTGTTTTGCAAAAACAAAAGTAGTTGTTGAAATATAATTCTATTGACAGCAATTTTTTTAAATGTATACTCGGCAGACACATTAAAAGGTAATATACATATTAGGATGGTCCAAAATAAGTCGGCATTTTAATGCTTTCCCCTCCTAGTATTGTTCTATGTCGAAAAAAATATACCCCTATTTTTTTATTTTGAAATTAAAAAATATTTAGGGAGTCGCTCAAATCGCTTAAAGTTTTCCATGTATTTTATATGGAAAACAACTTTTCGTAGAAATGGTATGGAATTCTTGAAAATTAATATTTTTCGATCGGAGAACTCTGGTTTTCTTCAACGGACTTTCAATAACAATACCCAATTGTTTAACCAGTTTTTAAAGCTAAAGATTTTTTATTTATCCCCTATTGCATTTACTAGGGGTTTTGGCGGACTTATAAAATATAGTTACTATGAAAAAATAAAATAATTGGGTATCATTATCGGGAATCTCCTGAAGAGAAACACAGTTTTCTGGTCGAAAAGTATTGCTTTTCAAGAATTCTATACCATTTCTACGAAAAGTTGTATATAAATTACATGGAAAACTTTGAGCGCCTTGAGCGACCCCTGAATATTTTTTGATTTCAAATCAATGGGGGTATATTTTTCGGTACAGAACGATCCTAGGGGGTGAGAGCATAAAAATTCCGACTTTACTTTTTCACATGCATTTTTGGACCACCCTAATATATATACCTATTTGTATATACATCAGAGCTGTGAAAAATGCATAATTTTTTTAATGTATAGCATTTTAAAGTTAATGTAAAGAATTAATGCATTCATGTTTGAAATGTAATGTAAATGAAAAATTAAATGCATTAATCCCGAAGAAGTAATGCAGCGTTTTTGCTGCATTTAAAATGCAACATTTAGCACTTTCGAACATATGTTTTCGAAGAGCGTTCATGCTATCGCATTTAGCAAATGTACATTTACGCGAGTTCGAAATCGTATGGCTTTGACAAACAGCCGTGTTCTACTCGCTTATTCAGATCCGTATCTATTACGATAAATGCTCACGCAGAAGATAATATTCAAAAAACCCTACTGAAAAGGCAAAGATAAATTTTAAACCAAAAATTCAATACAAAAACTTGAATTATTCTAACCATAACCGAACATTTGTTTGTGTATACATATATTTATTTGTCGGTGCTGTCAATTAAAATTTCCTCACTTAATTAGGAAACAAAATAAACAGAGTTGATCACAAATTGATCCAGATTACTATCAGCATAACATCGATGTTGAATTTGCGTAACTTTTCCAAATAATGTAAAATAATAAATGAAATCTCAATCGGTGATCATTGAAACGCAGCTAGCCACTGTATACGCGAAAAAGCAATGTTGCCACTTTTTCTCATTAAACCATGTTCGAATCGTGGAAATTTTGGAAGATCACAGGGTTGCTTTTAGCATTTAGATTCTTAATGCAAAGCTGGAGTTGCATTTAGTTGCATTTAGACGAATTTTGTATGGATAAATGTACATTTAGGGTAGCATTTACAGTTAAATGCGATAAATGTGCATTTACGCGTAAGCAAAAACAGCCCATAATGCTAATGAAGTTTTCTTGCATTAACTTTCAAATTTTTAAATTAATGCTAAATATTACTGTAATTTATTGCATTAAAAGTATAACAAGCATTATAAACCCATTAACTAGTTTTACTTTGAAGTAAAAATTCTTTGTTGACGTTGAGGGTAGAATTTTGAGGTTAAAAAAGCAGTGTTGCCACAAAAAAATTACCAAATTCCTCAAAAACAAATGAAAAATCCTCAAAATCCTAACAAATTACTCAACATTTCCTTATTATTTTCTTATTATTACTTAGTATAATAATTGGTACATTTGTTCTTGCGCATCAAACAAGGTATCCCCGTTGTTTTTTATGCCTTGGTTTGTATATAATATTGCTGTAACTATATCAGTGCTCAATATGGTCCTCAAGTCAGTCCTACACATTTTTAAACTACTAAATACTTTTTTTTTTTAATTGGGAAACTTATATGAACCTGAAGAATCAAAAACTTTTTTCCTATAATTTTCTGGATCTAATGAAGGATCAATATGAATATCCTTATGATAGAACAACGGGTGTTTTCTCCATTCGTTACCGAGATTTTGCAAGTTCAAACTACAAAAGTTGAAAATATAACGATGGAATGAAAAAAATTATCGTTAACATTTTGAATATTTAGCAGCAAATGCAGATGTGCTTAAGAGAGAAAAGCACCACACAAGCTTCTTGACAAACCAAGCGAAACATCCCTTTCCTTAAAGCTATTTATGTTGTGTAGGGGGGTGTTTGAAGGTTTGACAAGCCGTTTGAGGGAAATGTGAACAAAAATCAAAATGTTTTGATTTTCTTGCCGCCATGTCGATGAAAACCAAACCCTTTTACATTGTGAACCGGAAGAAAACTAAAATTCTTTGCTTGAACGAGTCATGTTTGTATGGTGTATGGCGAAATGGGAAAAGTAGGTTTGAAGAATGTTTGACAAGCCGCTTGTGTAGTGTATTTCGCTCTTTATAAAACTTCGGAAAGCTTTTTGTTCGAAAATTTGCTGTGATTTAACAAATCTGTTGCGTAAAACATGGTTGCACTTATTATCTGCAAATATATCGAGAGAAAATTCCTCAAAAATTCCTCAAAACAAAAATCTTCAAAAAATACTCAAGCGCACCCGAAATTCCTCACGTTTTGAGGAATTACTCATAAAGTGGCAACACTGTATAAAAGATAGTGGGGAAGTTAAGGTTGGTTTTCACTATGTCAAATTCAATGGCCTTTGTCATCAAATAGGTAAAAAGACATTGTCGAATGGAACTTAAAAACTAGCTCAGAATAGGTCTTCAGTCGTGAACTTGTGCCGCTAAATTGGATATCTGTCCGTTTTTGGCCAATAATATAATCGGTATGCACCAGAAATCAACATAAAAATCTACAAAAGCACACCGAGCTGCACGCAAATTGCTTTTATTTTCATAAAACATCTAACAATGTTTCCAAAAATTTTCCTTCAAATAAACATAAAGCTCTACCCAGAATTACAGCGGACGACGGTAAAGCGGTCGGCGATAAGTGAAGAGCTGTTCAGTTACCGCAGTGAAATCCGTCCGAGTAAGCACAATTGCGGTTGACGACTGCTTCCGTTGATTTGAAATTTTTATTAAAATATTTTTATTTGTTTGATACGTTATTTTCTGGAAATAAAAATGGTTGAAAGCATTTGCAAACTTGTACAAATAATAGAAATTATTACAATCAACAATGTGCCGCCCCCGCTAGGCGGTAAAAATAGAAATAAATTTAAATCAACCGAAAAACGTTGGCGGTAAAAATGCTGCCGCCGTAGTTACATATGTGCTAATCCATATGTCTTCGTGAGTTTTTATTTTGACAGCGGTTAACCATCGACCGCTCTACCGTCGTCCGCTGCAATTCTGGGTAGAGCTTAATAGAATGTCCTTCCAAAAGAGATTTTTATATTTCACTTTAAAACAAATTTAATGAGTTTTATTAATGCAAATGAACAAAATTATTAAAAATTTTAATGCATCAAAATTTTTTCATTAGCATTAGTTTCGATAATTCAATGGAAACAATTTTCATTAGCATTTTTTCAGAATTAATGCATTGAAATTTGTATTTGCATTAAATTTCAAAAATTAATGCATTAATTTTTTCCATTAACATTATTGCTTTAAGTACCATTAATGCATTAATTACATCTCTGATATACATTAGACTGATTAAAAAAAATCGATTAACTTTTTTTAATAGCCCCCTCTTCAATACCTCCGGGGGGATGTCAAAAGATGCCTGTTAAAAGCGCAACCCTTAATATTAAGTTTAAAAGGTGGCGTATCGCAGCTTTCTATTTTCCATATAAATTACTTAGAAAATAATTGTTTTTGTCTTTGGAATTTGTTTTCTCGGCTATAAATTATCAAGATAACATATGCGATACATATTTTTGTAGGAAATTAGACGTTCCACAAGAACGTCTCTTATCATGTTTTGATAAACCTATTGGTTTAACGGTTATTCAAACTTAAAGTTAAATTTATGTCATTATTACAGTTTTTACAGTAATTAAAATTGTTTCAACTATCCAAAAAAGAAGTCTTTTAAAAATTGAAATTGTAAAGTTTAATAAGTCTTCCAAATTAATTTTACTAAAAACCCCCCATTTCGGGGAAATCTTAATTAAAATCCTTTCTATTATATTGAGTTATGTTCGAAAGTTCGTTTTATCATTTTTCCACTAAAAATGATTTTAATATATTTTTCTAACAGGGAATTATAACTTTAGGGATTTTTGTAACAAATTTTGCAATACTTAATGATAACACTCGATCACAAATTTAACAGCCTTATGTTTTATAACGAACGAAAGGCAATACGATCAATTCGTCTGCAGAGGAACGCTTCAAAAATTAGTTCGGCGGCATCATTCTAGCCGGTTTAACCGGTGAAAACAATTTTTTTCTAAGTAATTTATGTGGAAAATGGAAATCCGCGATGCGTGACCTTTTAAACTTAATATTTATGGTTGCGCTTTTAACAGGCATCTTTTGACATCCCCCGTAGGTATTGAAGAGGGGGCTATTAAAAAAAAACTTAGTCGATTTTTTTGAATCAGTCATATGGTATGTATACTAATGTAACCATATTGTTAGGGGCATACAGTTGTGGCATGCTATTCCGGTTTGTATAAAATTTTAGTCTATTGATATAAACTACTATATTGCATTTTTATTATCTCAGTTTTTGAATTGTGAATGATAACCACTTTTTTAAATAAATTTAAATAGTAGAAAGTTGTATATATTTAGTTGTTTCAATTGGTTGCATAAACTTGGGATGCTCAGCAGTGGTGCACGCAGTCAACATAGGCACCTGCGGGCTCGCGAAATTACTAGGCGAGGGGAAGTGAGCGGTAAGAATATCCTGTCGATAATTAAAACCACAAAAAAGTTAAGGACCAGAAAATTTGCCATCACTTGGAAAAACAGGAAGATGATTACAAACCAGCTGACTTTGTTTATGTTTTGTTGGTAAACACACAGAAATTCATGGTGCCGCCATGGAAGAAAAAAAGAAAGTGAACGTTCAAGGTTCGCCAGGAACATTAAGCATATAAAAT